AGACGCCGCGGGAGCGATTGACGCTGCTTTTGCTAAAACAGCAGCAGAAGCGGTTCTGCCCCGTTCAAGACGCGGTTTGTTGCCTGGTGCGTTGGGGGAATCCCGCTGGTGGAAGCTGCGTGAAGCTCCCTGCTCATCCAGGGCGGGTTGGTGTCTGTGAAACGGGGGCTTTGCGCCGCTGCAGACTGCTGTAGCCGTATCTCTCCTAGCTTGGTTAGAGGTGCTGTGAGCGCCCAGGGGCTGGACAGAAAGGCAGGATCGTTCCGTTGTCGCTTTATCACTGCTTGAGCAAAGCAGACTGATGTGAGCTCAGGTGTGACGATGTTGTCGCACAATCACACACGCTGATCATCTTAGAAGCACTGCTTAGTATGCTGCGCCTGAAAACAGCAGTACGGGATGCTTAGAGGTGAGATGCGCGGAGGTTAATACAGGTGAAGAGACCTAGAGAGGATTACCAAAAGAGAGACCTGCCCTCTTCCTGAAGGAAAGTTCCACACACCTGAATAGGCACCGGGCTTGGAGTTTGCTGCCTTCCAGAAGAGCGTGTTAGCACTAGACACTTGAGCATTTTCTCTCGAGCAAAATAGCAGCTTTTCGCTCCTGCACCTGCTCGGTTTCTTTGCTGTTTTCTTGCCAGCTGTGAGGAATGTTTCATCTGTTTTGGACAACAGGATTATTTCAGCTGCCAGCCATTGTGTGTCTTGAGGCAGGACAGCAACAAGCTGAGAGTCTGCAGCTGCTGAAGCTGGTAGAGTAATTCCTCTGGCTGGCAGGTGAGCAGTAACAAGGCTCTTGTGACAACCTAGTGCAGCCCCAGTTACTGCCTGTATTCCGCTCTAAGCTTCTGCAGACCTAACTGACTCAGAGGCGTTAATTGCTGGCTCCCAGGCAAGCTGCTGGTGAAGGCAGAGTGAGGAACAGAGCGCTAAGACTGAGTATAACCTGCTGGATGTCTTGTGGAGCCCAGTTGCTAATTGTTCTTTCTGTTTTCCCCTTGTTCTGTTCTAGGAGGATGTGGGGAGTTAAACTGGTGCCTGTTAAAATGACAAGGGAGTTGCACAATATATTTAGGAAGAAGGAGGATGATAAAAAAGTAGTTTGAGAGCTGTTAATACAGAGCATTAGACAGCTAATCTGAGCAAATTATTCCTATAAACTTGATACTAAGAAATATCTGTTTGGGTGATAAAAAGAATCTTGTTCTTTTGGTTGATGCTTAAAAAGATACTTGGAGTTACGTGCGTGATCATATGCAAAAGAGCTTAGACCAACACCTTTTCATTCTTTTCCATTCCTTTTGTTTTGCAAAAGCAGACTATGCATCTCGTGTTGCTTGATTCTCAGTCTTCTGATTTATTGCCCATGTCCTTTTGGCAGCTTCACTCCTTAGATAAATGGATGTATTTTTTATTTTAAAACAAGGTGACTGGCTCCAAACTAGGTAATACCTAACTTTCCTGTGTTCTGGCAAACAATAATTTTTTGAACGCAGTGTAATTTGAGCTACCGACTGCCCACCAGGCAAGATTTTGATGTATATTTAAAGAACCTTGGTGTAATCAGTGACAATAAATTTGAGCTGGCCTTTTGTCAGCATCCTTGGAGATGCAGGGCATAATTTTGCTGAATTCGTCTTTCAGCTTTATTCAGCTGGATGGTAAAATTACTTAGGTTAATCAAGGTAAGTACAGTGTGTGGAAGAACTTTAGAGGAACTTAGCAAAACCAGTTGAATGGAGTAATACACTGCAGGTAATATTTGTTACTGATAAATGTTGAACAAGTTAAATCACAAGAAGCAGTTGTATATTATTCATATGCTAGTTTATAAATCAATTAAGGGGAAGACTTGGGCATTGCTGTATATGAATCAGTTAAAGCAATGTCAGAAGTGCAAACACGTATGCTAGCTTGTGGGATTTAAGCCCCTGAATTGAAATTGGAATTTGTCCTTCTGAGGCATTAAGAGCGTAGCTGTGTGCTACAGGCACACACTGCCCAGACACCTCCCGTACCAATGTGTTCTGGCTTTCCCTGGAAGCCATAGGAGTGCAGTCGTTCTTACGGTCTTGGGTTAGACCAAACAGTGGTCTGCACCTATTACGGGCTGCTGCAAGGGGTGGATGTAGCTGTGGAGTTTGGGGAGCAAGCTTCTATCTCCACCTTGTATGGTGCCGATACACTGCATTGTGTTGTGCTGGTAATTGTCAACTGGAATATCTCTGTTTTATTTCTTAGTGTAGAAGAGCCCTTAGATCTCTGATGCGTTTATGGGCTTGAATAGAAATTGCCCTTCTTGGCAGATTATTGTGTAACATAGGATTTTTTGTATTTCCGCTGAGATGTCTGGAACAAGGTACAAGATTAAATGAATCTCAGTTCGGTGCAGTTGCACTGGTTCTGTCCTCCACCATTGTCTCATATTAACAGTTACCGTAAAAGAAACCAATGGTGATGTAGTTTGATTTTTAGGTTTTGTATGTTCAAGGATCTTAACTAACTTTTAAATAATTATGCTTATATTGGCCCTTTTACATTCTCACGCAGTATTGTTTCCTTTCTAGGCGGCCGTAGTGCTGTGCCTGGATGTAGGCTTTACAATGGGCAATTCTGCCTCTGATGAGGAGTCTTCACTTGAACAAGCCAAGAGGGTTATGGCAAAGTTTGTGCAGCGACAGGTATGTATGACTTTGTATGTGATTAAAAACTGTTAAAAAGGGAGAGGAAGCAATGACATTTGTGAAATATTTTTTCACATTTACGAATAATTGAAATAGAAGTAAGAATCAGTCTGGTTTTATGCAGGAGTAACAGTGCCATTTGTTTCAGCTGTACTTTTGTGGAAATGTGGCAGTTGGATTGGTCACTCTTTTTCTTTAGGGCAATAGAAACTTTTAGGGGAAAAAAGTATTCTTCTCTTTCTCTAAAATGTTTCAACTTCCTTAAGATTCACTGTGCTGAAGACTCATTTCAAGGACCGAGTCAGCCAATTTTACTGGTTTTATCTTAGATATCCTCGTGTCAGTCTTTTAGTTTAATTCTACCTAAATTAGTGAACTCTCTGTAAGATTACATTTTGGAAGGATAGCACCGAAAAAGTAAGAAAAAGTAAATCCACTGTACTTGACATTGTTTCAGAATTAGTTCAGCTTGCTCAGGTTTGCCTAAGATAGTTGTGTAGGAGTCTACCTGTGGTTTTATACCTGTTTTGTATTTTCTCTGTTTCCAGGTTTTTGCTGAGAGTAAAGATGAAGTCGCTGTAGTTTTGTTTGGCACAGATGGTACTAGGAATGACCTTGCCAGTGAAGATCAATACCAAAACATTACTATACATAGGTCACTAATGCTACCAGATTTTGATCTACTGGAAGACATTCAAGATGTGATTAAACCAGGCTCTGAGCAAGCAGACTGTATCCTTTCATTGTAGAGCACTTCTTGAACTGATTCAGCTATGTAGGAGACAGGAAGTTTGTGTTGAGAGACAGGCTCAGATTTGCCTCCAAAGTGGTAACTGTCAGAGTTCAGCTGATTTGTGGTTTTAACTTTGCTGAAAAGCAGATTAGCTGCTTTTTTGACGTTCCTTTAGGCTAGCAGATGGAGCCTTGGCCGGGGAAATTGTTGCTTTTATGAAGTGTTCTGTTAATTAAAGAGAACAAAGATAGTAATAATATAATTTTAGGCCTCAAAGAAGGCACGTGTTTTTAAAAATAGTGTTGCAGAACTTGGTTTATCCTTTTTTATCAGATAAAATTATTATTTACAAAATATGTCACCAGAAGCACCAGAAGCCAGACAAAGCAGAGTAGAGATTTATCGTATTGATTTCTATGTAAAGTATTCCTAACATTGCCAAATGTCACTTGCTGGTTTGAATGTCATTCATGTTTGAATGTATTCTGTTACTAGTTGCATAATGTGAAGAGTTTTAAAACAAGGTGATCTATGTAGTAGCCCTTTGTATGTTTCAGTTACATACTGTTCAACTTCCCCTCTTGCGGGCCAGAAAATGGTTGTGGTGAGCTCTATTCAGAGCTGTTTCAGAGAAGTGTGCAGCCAGCCAGCTGTAATTTAGCAGAAGCAGAGTCATGTGCCTTCTCTGATGGGTGGGCAGGTTTGTGCGCAGTGAGATAAATATATTACTAATGAAAATTGTGGTGAGGAAGAAACTGTGACGAGATTGACAGATGCAGATGTTTTGAAGGAAAACTTACATGAGCAAATGGTATCGTGTCAAAAGTACAAGTAAATCTTGTTTGTGGATTCAAAGTAACGTAAAGATTAGATTGGTCTTTCATTGGACTTGAGCTTCCTCGTTGACAGTTGAAAGATTGGGCCCTGAAGCAGTCTTTTTACAGTTCTGTCACATAAATGAGGAAGAGCCAAGATCACAAAACAGACAAATTATATAGGAACCTCTTGCACCACAGGTATTTGAAGAGTACTTGTCTTAAAAAATCATGTACTTAGTTAACTAAAATGCATGTTGGTCAGTGTTTGGGAGGGGATGAAATCAAAATTTTTTCATAGGAGAAACACTTTAGTGACATGATTCATGTTCTAAATGAGATTTTTCTTAAATTTGCTTAGTTCTGGATGCAATTATTGTGTGTATGGACTTACTTCAGAAGCAAACAATGTGAGTATGTAACCCAAAGCCTTTTACAGAATTCTGACCTTGCACTTTGGAGCTGAGCTGATTTCTTGTCACTATTAGATTTCCATCATTATGTAAATATGGAAAATAATTTATTAAAAAAACCCAAACAAAACCAAACCCCTGCCAGAAACAGTACTTTTAAAAACACTTTCCATTTTCACAAGGACAAACTTACAGCTGCAAAGTAAATACCCAGCGTAATCAGTGAACAACCTGACATGTTTTATTAACATTTTATCTACATCAGTGAAAATTGGTGGAATTCCATTCATTTAGGTGTAGATGGTGATTTATATGGTCACAGGGCTAGAGTGCTCAGTTTTAGGGGGTAGGAGTGAGTAGGGGGAATCATATAAAGATTAAAAACTCACTATAAATAATATGAGCAACGATAGAATAACTTCTACCAAGTAGGTTGATTGGTTCGTTAGTTTGTTTTACAAGTATATTACTTCGGTGAAGCTTCAGTTTTCTAAGGAAAGATTTAGAAAAAGGCCTTCTAGATAATATATTCCTGATATATGTAAATGTTCTTTTTTGTATTTTAAGAGGAAAGAAATACGAGAAGAGACACATTGAAGTGTTTACAGACCTTAATAGTCCTGTCAGTGAGGATCAGCTGGAAATTATCATTGATAACTTGAAGAAAACAGGAATTTCACTTCAGTTTTTGTAAGTATGAAAGTGGCTGTTATACACTGTGCCATTTTTTAAACGGAAATTATTATTCTTTCTTAATAACTATCTTGAAGGAACTGGTGATCTGTTGGTGTGTTGTTTCTATAGAGGTGTACCAGTATGTAATATAATTGTTACAAGTACTTATATCAGTTGCACAAGCCATGAATTCCAGTTATGAACAAAGTCCCCTTGATTAAGTGACGTACAAATACACGTTAAGATGACGGCTTCTTCTCCAGTTAAGCTTATAGCTTAAAGCCAAAGTCTAAAACAGGAGACAAAAGATAATTATAAGCAGAGAAGTGGGAAACAGTGATCCAGAAATAGCCTCAGAAGCAGTGGTTTTGTTGCAGCAACAGCCTAGATCCTTTTAGGTAAGGGAGTTACAGGGAAGAAATGATGACGTAGTGTTGCAGATGTTTATAGCCTGATTCTAGTGTCAGTAAAAAGCAAGTTGTAAGAGAAGGGTTATATTCACAGTGATGGGCTTGGAAAATGGAAGTAATGTCTGAAGTTTTATGACAGGAATCTCTGTGCTGTCTTGGTATGGGTATAAGCATTCATCTGAAGAATCAGTGGCGGTGCTGAGATCTGTAGTAGTTGTTGCACATGATGGTAACACGGGAAGCTGTAAACCTGCTTGTAGGAGCTTATTTCAAAGAAAAACTTTCTGTGAATGTTAAAGTTTGTTCATAACATAATTTCACAGGAGAAGGTTAAAGCCACGGTTTTACTTCTGATCGTTGTATTATTTACTTTCACTTAGATCCAGTATTCTGTAAGGAGCGATGTTGTGAACTTGATAAATTCATTAAAGCCATTTGCAGACCAACCTGCAAGATGGCAGAGGGATTAGGTAGGAGAGCGTGACTGAAAATCATGGGCTGATCCTCCACAGAAAAATTCTTTTTTGCCAGTGCTTGGGAGAGGCTAATGTAACAATGTCAGTCTGCTCTTAGGTTCTGTCTACACAGCCAAAGAAGGTATGCTTGCAGTGTGCCTTGCCATGCCCCTGCTGGGTTATCTGAGCCATTGTTGGCACTGGAGGCAGTGGAGTCACAATGCCGTGAACCTGAGTACGTGCTGCCTGCCAGAGTGTGTCTTTCAGAGACCTGGTATTTAGCCCCTGCTACCTTGTCTCCATACCTGTAGTTTGCTATGCGGACTGGTACAGATGCTACCACCATAAATGTTGCAGTTTTATTCTGTGAGCTTTCTGATACATCATCGCATTTTCCTTGTCTGTAACGTAGCAAGCCCATGGCTAATAGAGGCACTAGGTATATGTTGCTGTTACAGCATCGGCTGCGGATTTACATCCTGCCTCCCAGCCACAAGAGGAAATGATGCTTTGAGAACTACATGTGCAAAAGTAAAATGCTCAGGATACTGGTTTAAAAATAATTGCTCACTAAACCTTGTCGTTTTGTTATAACCCATGCTTCCATCTCTTACGCCCTGTTTATTGATTAGGTTGTAACTTGTGGCAGATAGTTGTTTTTCTTCCCTGTTACCAAGTGCCGAGCACATGCTGAGTACTGTGTAGCTTTGAGTGTTACACAGTTGTCATCACAGGAGCCTCTAAGCACTGCATGATGAAAGTAATCTCACTTTTATGTATCGGAGGTTTGAAACTTTTTGCTCTTGTAACAGCTTTAAAATAGTTTCTCTGTTTGTCAGTGGATGCTGCTTCCTAAAAAGGTACTGAACATTTTGCTGAAGTTTGATCTTTAATTCTGCTGTATGTGACATTGTTGTGCATATTGTTAACTCTGCTTATTATATGTTGCTCCACAGATGAGTTTAGTGAGGACTAAAGAGGTGAAAGTAAGGTACAGCTCTGTAGGCTGCTTATTTTAAAACATAGCACAATGCTAAAATTCTTTTACTTTGTGGAAATGTGGTGAAAGGTATCATGTGGTTCATTCCAAACTGGATCAGACGAAAGATCTGAAAAATCTGCAGGCATTGTTGGGGGCACAGAGTAGAGGATCTTACGCATCTCTCTTTTCTGTGGTTATTATACTTCGTTAACTCCATTGTATTTTGAAGACCAGCAAAATCATTTTATCTATAACCCCTGGCTAAATTTTTAAATCTGATTCTTGAAGTGCAGGAAAATGTGTCATCTTCAGTCAGAAATTCACCTTGTGTTGTAAGCTATTAAAATCTCAGAGAGTAACATTTGTTCCAGAAATACCTAATAGCCCCACTGCAGAGAAAGTCCCGTTTGCTGGCACTTAGAGCCAATACAGAATCACAGGCTTGGAATGGCCTTTAACAAGTCGTCTGGAGCAATCCTCTGCTTCAGACTGGGTCAGCTGTATGTAAGTCATTCCTGAGTGGCATTTGTCTAATCTTTTTATAAAGATTTCCGGTGATGGAGACTCTTGCATCTCCTCAGGCAGTTGGTTTTAGAGATTGTGGTTTGAACTGCATTTATCAGTTTTTTGAGTATCTGACCTGATTCCATGATGTAATTTGAGTGCAGGCTGAACATGAAGAACTGATTATTCCCTTCCTCTGTGCAACAAGACTGGCTTGCCCTCTAACTCCCTTCTCTATGGGCTTTGTTTTGTTCAATCTTTTTTCGTAGATTTTTTTTTTCTAGTCAGCATTGTCTTTACTCCCTAATACCTTCCTGCATGTGGACATCTCTGTTGACATATGATGCCCAGAACTGGTGCAGCAGTCTGGTCATGATGTTACTAATGCCAAGTAGACCTGACTTATTACTCCATGTGTTTTGCAAGCCATGCGGCTCTTAATACATCTGACTGCAGCTAGGTAGAATCATAGAATCATTAAGGTTGGAAAAGACCACTAAGAGCATCAAGTCCAACTGTCAACCCAACACCACCATGCCTGCTAAACCATGTCCTGAAGTGCCACATCTACATGTTTTTTTAACACC